GAGAACAATCTTAATTATTTATAACCTTAATTTGAATGACATTGATCTGGTAGAATGCTTATCCCTTCATTTCATGACAAGAGCAAATGCTTTGCAAAAATTCTGAAAATACAGAAACGAGTTCAATGATGTGCATTAAATATGTGGGGCACTATTAAAGTACAAATCCTCTACTGCAGTAGCTTTCAATCCCAGCATTTACAAAATAAAAAATTTTAACAAGACTTAGAAAGTTCATTTGAGTTATCTTAGTCACTAATAATCCTAATATTTATGTAGATCAGCACTGTTTCCTTTTCTGGAAGATACCACTGGCGGTCAATGGACAGATCAAAATATAATACACCTGTTAATAATAAACCTGTAATAAAACAATTGGTCTTAATGAAGCTAAACTCCATGTGCTCATTATGCTACGTTGCTTCTTATCAAACAATATAAGACATGAAATAAAAAAAGAAATGTTTAGCATGTTTCTATCATGGTTGCACATTTTTTAAAATGATAGAAACCAAGTCATAAGCTGTAGACAAGCATAGTATCTTTTATAAAAAAATTAATTGTTGAGCTTACAGAAATAAACTGATGAATAATACAATGAAAATATACACATAACTTTTTATATCATTAACTTCATTACAGAAATTGGCAGTTTTGATAAAAATGTTATTTAAATGCATTGTGTGCTATAAACATTCAAATAACACATACAAGTCAGGAAAAATAATTATTAAAATTCACTAATTATCAAAAAAGGTGCAAGATTTGCAAAGTGCCATTAAAATAACAAGTTTAATATATAACAATTTTATGTTCTCAGAACAAAATAAAAAAGTTTCCCAAAAAATTTTCTTACCTTCAGAATTGATAAACTTTCCATGATTTCTTTTAGCCCTTGTTGGAAAGCTTGTTTTCCAAGTGAAAAAATATCATACAGAAAAACATAATCTTTAGTTCCAATCTGTAAGAAATATATCATACACATTAATATTTATTTTGCTACTGCTGTATTACAGTTATTAAACATATGAAAATTTCCAGAAAGTTCCAGTTGTTAATTGAAGTATACAGACATACCAATGAAACATACAAATGTAGAAAATCTTCATAATCCTTCTTACAATAACTATTTGAAATAGTTTAGTTTACATATTACATTATCTATAGATGTAAATACATTTGCATAATAATAGAAGAAAGCACAAATATTTTATCATCAAATTTGATTGTTTATTGAAAAATTAGGGCAATTTTGCATGGGTCAAACACATTAAACACACACAAATCTCCTTAGCTTCTTAACAAAGGAAAGATTGAGTATACAAATGAAATTAATTACTATGCTCAGTATCTCACCAAATTAATAGTAATTATCAATTTAATTAAGTTTTCAGGGGTAAGAATTCTTGAGGATGTATAAAAACAAATGGATAGAACCAAATATTTTTATGTGATTATATGAAGTGTATGTGGATTTAAAAATGTTTTTGCCACACCACATCTTGCTTTTTACTTTGTTTATTTAAATATTTTACTTGAGTGCCATATCTTATACAGTTATTACGGCCAAGTGTGGCACAGTAATTAACATGTAAATTATAAGCAGTATGAATCCATGGTTTGTCACCCATTGCCATAAAAACATGCTCTGCACTTTTGGGCTGAGGGTGTACTATAAGTGTAAGAGTTAAATACCATTTTTTGGTTCGGAAGAAGCAGCCGAAGAGATCGTGTGGCTGCTATTAATTAGCGGTCTTACCTCTAGTCATCAGTTCAAGCTTAGTGACATTTATGCACAGATAGCCCTTTATGTAGCTTCTCATGATATTGAAAACAAAGAGGTAATACTTTTTTAAAGCCACAAAATAGGTTCCTTGTCATAACATTTATATAAATTATTGAAAAACATGATTAATTAAAAATTTTGTTTTACACGATATATGTAACTGTCTTTAAAAATAATTTGTATCTTTCCACAACTGCTGAGCCACACAGCAACTTGGGGGTATAAAGGTTTTTTATATACTTTGCACTTTTAAGTTTTAAATGTTTTAAATTAATAAATGGCTTCCTTGGTTATTGAACAATCTCCAAAAAATCTAAGACCAGACTTTATGTTGTATCTAAGGTTGTACAATTCACTAACATGAATTATTTTTAACTGAAGGTAAGCTTGTAGCAAAAACCTATAATGTTGCTTAATGTTATGGATTTTTTTAATTATAACATTTTTCATGTGATACAAAAATTTATTATTTGTTTCCTTACTCAATACATGTATTTTCAGTAATCACCCACAAGGTAAAAATGATCTTAAAAGGAAAGCAGTTTTCATAAGTAATATTAAGACTTACTGACAGAATGTAAAAATGTCCTTTATGTAAGAACATTTCTGGTTTTCATATAACAATAATATCTATTGTTTACAGATTACCAAAAGGATAATCTTAAATGAAAAATACAAAATGTTTTTTTTCATTATTCTAAACATACATAAAAAATGATTTAACTCTGATATTAAAGTTTTAGGCAAATTAGGTTTCAATAGTACATTACAAAGGTGATCTAATTTTGTATCAATAAGAAAAAATGTTTTTTTTGTGAAATTTCTCCACAATAAGATTAATATAAAATTTTAACAAATACTTCTGTACTGGTCTTATATAAGTGTCCAGTATGAAGAACACAACAGTATCTTGACTGCACACTTTGTATTTCATGCTGCTACCAACAATGCTTTTTGCTCAATATAGGAGCTGATATGGTTGTATGGCCATGCAACAAAGTCTAGGTCAAAGCCCTATTTATATCAGTCATTTTTTAAGATATCATTTGCCAACAGTGCATGATCTACAGATTAGTGTTTTGTAGAACATTTAATCGCAATGAAGACATGTTCAGACTGCAGTTAAAAATGGTATCAACAATGATCTTTTTAAAACGGATTTATGTTTGAATGGTGACCTTTTAGGAACAAGTTATGTTTTAACGTAAACCAGTTTGCTAGGTGTTTTGGAACCTGTTTCAACAAACAACTGAGTGTCTTGGGGATAGAGAATGCACTGTATGTGAATACTTTTTTTAATCACAATTGTGTCTGTTCAAGATATAGGAACCACATGTAGATATGAAGAACTGCTGTTTTGTAGTTTACCACTAAAGTTAGGAATATGCATAATTTTTTTTTTATTTGTGAATCCTTGCTTCTCGATTAAGTTTTATAATTCTCTTATAATAAGATTAAATATGCACTTTTCTTGCTGGAAGGTGATTTACCTTATTACAATAATTTAGTTTTAGGGATAGTTTTTAGAAAGAAAATAATAAAGTACTAATAAAAATAAACTAATGTACAACACCATGACTACTTAGTTTGGAAACAAAATTTCTTATTTGCATAAAACAGGATTAAATAGTCGACAGTGCGAGCAGTTACACTTGTTGAAACAGATTTTTCTCTCATTTTAAATTATAACCAATTTAGTTCTCAACTGCATGCTCAGCCAATCTGATGATTTGTGATATTAAGCAAAAGACATCATCAGATTGTGGTGAAGCACACAAAGTATGCAGTTGAACTGGTATTATGATCTTCTCACTGGAAACCCATGAAGTCCAGTAAAGAAAGACTTGTTAAGAAATATTATCAGTCTTGTTGTGATGAAATTTTGCACAACACACCAATCTATAGATAAATAATAGTTCTTTTAATATGCGAGTGATTCACTACATTTGACTTCAAATGCTTACTTATAAGTGCAAACAAACAGGGAAATACTGCAAACAATGAAGACATATAAATCAATACACACTAAAAAGACTTCTCAAACAAATATAGCTGAGGTTTGAGAAAACTAGTAAATAGTCTAAGAAACACAGTTTAGGAACAATGATCACCCATTACCAAGAAAAATGGAAGATCAGTACAATGTAAGAAATACTGTTTGGAAACATTGGCCATCTATTATTAAGAAAAAGAAAGAGAAGACCACTAAACTAATTTGAGAAACAGTTTGGAGATATCAAATGTGCTATTACCAAGACTTAAAACATAACACAACAAAAATAGTACAAAAAACACAGAATTTAGAAACTGTTCATTTTCAGATATTTGCACAAAGCTACTCAAGGGCCATCTACATTAGATGTCTCTAATTTTGGACTTACAGACTAGGGGGAATGCAGAGAGTCAACTGCAACCATTGCCAACTCTTTAGCTACTCTTGTCTGATTGAATAGGATTTGACTGTCAATGTTATAATACACCCATGGCTTCAAAGTGTAGAAAGTGATATTTTTTTGGTGGAAATGAGATGCAAACGATAAACCCATAAATCAATGATCTGGCACTCTAACCACTGGGACACACTCAGCCCAAGAGTTTAGAAACACAGTCTGTGCTATTACCAAGAGCAAAGAAAAGAGAAGGTCACTGTACTGAAGGCATATTTTCAAGTTAGCAAATTAATTTATTGTTATTGTACTTGAAAATTCAGAATCAATACAAACTTTTTTTAAATGTATAAAATAAATTTCCACTAAAAAGCCAAATAACCTATACATATAGATAAAAATATCAATGTTTGAAATAACTGGTACAATAGCACAATTATTCTGATCAACTTTACATAAGGCAAAAAAGTATCTGATAGTGTCCTCCTGCTAAAAGCATTTGGTTATATACTTCTAGAATTTAATGTATCCTTGTTAATTTATAACAAAAATCTATGCAGTTTCATGTCTGTTGACTAGCAAATTAGAATCCAGAAGTTTAAATTTTGTTTCATTAACTAAAGTAAAAATACACTCTTGATACATATATATTTTTTTAAACTACTACAATTTCCTTTATGAAATTTTTAAATAACCAGGTATTTTAGTGCTTAAAATTTGTATTTTGAAATAGTTATTTGATTAAATATTTTGGAACACAAAATTTATATATCTAAGCTAATAAAAAAACGTTGGTTATAATAATGTTAATAAAAGATCTGTCAACAAGTAATGGTTATGACTGTTGTATACATATAAAGTAATGGTTATGACTGTTGTATTCTGTGATATTATTTTAAAGGAAATAAAAAATTTTCAAAGAAGCATTAGCTCACCAACTTAAAGAATAAAAATATTAAAAAAATTAACTAGTAATGCCTAATAAGCTGAAGTGCACGACCACACGTGTATATTATAGGCAATGCATTTATTTTAACACACACAAAAATTTTCAAAAATACACAAGATAGATATACTACTCTCATCAACTTTTGCAAACAAGATGTATTTTGCAACGTAAAGAAGATTTGATTGAAAGCAAACCCATATTACTTTGAGACATACATGTCCTGAACTGGCAACAGCAAACAAATGTCATTTAAGTATTTCAAAAATACCTTAGGAAATAAGTCATTACTTGCTCTCCCTATATTAGATAGAATGAAAAAAGTCACATTAATGTGTTCCTAGGGTATGAAAATAATCTTTCTTCTTTGTATTAACAAAAAAATGGCCAACATAAATGAATAGCAAAACCTAATTTACACACACACACACAGTATCGAAACACAGGATAAAATCACTTATATTACAAGTCACTGACTTATAATGAAAAATGTGTTCTTGAGACTTATTTGAGCAGAATAAACTATGGTTAATTACAATTTCAGTAAAATAAATTATTATTTCCGATTAAAAAATGGCACAACTATATACAAGTTCATGGAGGTAACTTACCGACAACCAACAAAGTTCACCTGTTCTATTGATACTCCCTGGTTCCATTGAAACTCCTATAATAGCCTGATTCTTCAAGCAGTTTACCTATTTGTACAAAAAATTTATAAATAATACTACAGAAAGTACTGAAACATACTGAGAAATTATTAAGTTTTCATTATGTACTATATGAAAATTTAATCATAATACATATAAATGTTGTTAGTGGTTTTAATGGCCTTTTGATGACTTTCTTTTCTTTGAAAGCAAAATATGTACAAACATATCAGCAACAATTATTTTATGTGGTATCTTAGAGAAGTTTTTAAAACTATGCCTGATAAAATACTTTATTCTCACTAAAGTAACCATTATAGTGACTTAACTTAGAGAGACTCCAAGTCAACTATTCAGAATTTTACTTGTTAGCTGTATGTAATGTAATATAAGTTTAAAAACGTATTGCAAAAACAATACTTCAAACTCCACATATAAACAATTATCAAAATTACTAGTGTTATTATTTATAAACAAAAATCACAGAAAGCTTCTAAACAAATTAGTTTGAAGCTCTCTTTCTTTTTAAAAAAATATAAACAAAAGCAATCCACTAGAATTTTGCAATTATTTTACATTTCATGAAAAGCTTTACATACATCTAGAAAATAATCTCTTAAACTCCTTTACAGACTTTATTACAAATTAATTTACACCAGTACATAAAGCACAAACTACTGAACCTTATTAGTCCAGTGGAGGTTTGAAGTAATCTTGCACTGGAGGTTTGACAATGGTTTTTGTCATTTTGTATCTTCAAACTATGTATAATCAGAAAAAGGAATATGCCCATCTAGCACCCTTGGGAATTTTTAAATAATGGTGGTTTCTATGGTAACCATTCCCCACATTAAAAAAAAAAAGGGTCATATCTCAGCAACTACAAGTGATAGAATGTTGAATAAACTGCCCATTACTAGATTTTTGGGCACAATGAATTTACTGGTAGCATCATTTTATTGATTGGAGACATGTTTTATACTCTTATGGTAAGTCTCACAAAATAATTGTGAATTTTTCCGCAATGAAACAAAAGGCTAAAAAAAAAAGAAAAGAAATGAATGCCATTTATTACATTGCTTTCTTACAAGACATTTCATGCTTTGTTACAAAATTTTACATTTACATAACATATGTGATAAGTCAAAAACTATTATTAAACACTCAGTTTGTTTTGTTTTGAATCTTGCGCAAAGCTACACGAGGGCTATCTGCACTAGCCATCCCTAATTTAGCAGTGAAAGACTAGAGGGAAGGCAGCTAGTCATCACCACCCACCACCAACACTTGGGCTACTCTTTTCCTAACGAATAGTGGGATTGACTGTCACATTATAAAGTCCCATGGCTGAAAGGGCAAGCATATTTGGTGGATGGGGATTTGAACCCGCGGTGTGTTGGAGAGTCCGGAGGACTGCATCACCGGAGACAGTGCAATGGGTGAATGCAATACCCTTTTTTGAAAAGCAGAGCTACCACATAAAGAGAGTTGATCAACAAAAAACCTGATGGAACCTGGAATTGTACATCAGGTCTGTGGTAGGAAGAGTCTCAATGCCATGGACATTCAGAGACGGGTATCAATCTCTGAAGCAAAAAAAACACTAGAAGGAACTATTAGCAGTTAATCATAGATAGCAATAAAATGGAGACACACAACCAAACCTGGTGGCATCTGGAATTGTACATCAGGTCTATAGTAGGAAAATTCTCAATGCCATGGAGCATCAAAGATGAGCAGCAACTTTTCACAATACCAAAACACAAAAATTTAAATAAATAGTATAATAACAATAATAATAATAAAAAAAAACTAAGTCAGTAGTATAATGAAAAAAGTCAACAAATGCATGAGCAAAAACCAGGAAGTTTGTACAGTAATACTGCTAATCAAGAAGTGGTTAATAAGTGCAGGTGTGAAGAGGGTGTTGGTTAAGATAGGAGTGGTGTTGAGCTCTTATTGGTGGAGCCTCGCTGCATAATCATTGCTAGTTGGGAAGAGCTATTTTGTGAAAGGAGGTGAGATATCGTATTGGAAATATAAGTTGGTCAAGCACTGATAATTTCTGTTCTTTATATAGTCTAGCTGATTAGTTACTGTTTATATTTCATTTTGTCGGACTTATCACAAGAGCATAAAACACATCTCTAACCAATGAGATGATTCCATCAGTAGATTTGTTGTGCCCAACAACCTATAAATTAAAACTATATTTAACATTCTATCACTTGTAGTTGCTGAGATATGATCTTTGTATCTATACAATTAGGTGAAATGAGAAGGGTTACCATGGAAACCTGTCATTATTTAGAAATGCTCAAGAGTGATAGCTTGGCATACTCCATTTTCTGATTGTATATGGCCTAAATATATAATATCAGCAAAGAACCATTGTGGGACCTCCAGTGCAAGGTTAGGTGAAAAACCTACTTTGGCTGCAAGACTATATGTATATGTAAAACAGAAATGGTTAACATTGAAAACATTTGCTTATACTGACATAGTGATGTTTTAAAATAATTACTTCATAAAAATAATAATATCCCAACTTAAAATCTGGCCAGATGGATTTCTTTTAAACTGTTAATAAACAGACTTCTAGGTTTTGTTGACTAACTTAAAGTCTTGTAAACTCATTTTCAATAGTTTAGTTAAAACTTAAACTACTTAGATATTGTTGTAAACTATATTTACAATGTTTTAACTTAGTTCTTTGATTGAGAGAGTTGCTAACACGACGATGAATGTGCTGGACTTAGTCTAAAATATCTAGAATGTTAATGATCAAGGGACTTTACAACATATCTAGAAACATGGATACATGCAAGAGTCAGTGAAACACTGAAACAGTATTCAGTTCATTCAGTGACTGATAAGTAGTGAGATCAATGTTAGTTATCATGTATATTCAATTACTTGATTGATTAACCATGAAATTATAAGTAAGTTTATTTGTTTATTAGTCATAATACCATTAGCATGTAAATTTCTGTTGAAATTAATTATAATTTTCCTAAACTGAAAATATATTTTCAACAGGTACTTACTTCTTCTGCCAACCATAGCTATTCTTGTTCAGTGCTGCCCTCTATTTGCAATTTTTTTTTTGCATGCTGTAAGCCTTTCACTCCTACGTATCCCTCAGTTCACATGGTTTCACTGATAAGTGAAAATTATCATGTGACAATCCACCTATAGACATTCCCCACACACACACGTGACTCACTCTATGCTATTTAACTAACTATCACTTGGAATTTAGATAGAAACTAAGCACCAGTAGACAGTGGGGTGGAAGAGTGGGAAGTGTGAGTGAAAATAAGTACCCGTCAGAAATATATTTTCAGTGTAGGAAAATTATAACTTCTGACAAGGTACCTTACTTCCACTCACATATATAGCTAGACTTCTACATTGAATAAGAGAAGAAAACAGTGCAAGTGAGAAAAGAGAAGCATCCTTTGAAAGCATCTGAAGAACACCCCCAAGAGGGAACCCTCAAAGAAGAGGATAATAAGTGAAAGACTGCACTACTTCTGTACCAGGTATACTTTTTGCCCAGACATGGAAAAGGTGAGACTGAGTCAGGTGGACAAAGTTAAGGAGCACATCACATTGTGGTTAAAAGAAGTGATGTGCTCCAAGGTGTAGAGTGGATAGGGCACAACAGGCTGTCACTGCAAGTAAGCTTCATCAAAAACTCGACCATTGGAAACTGACATCCATGCGGGGGTAGGACAAGGATCATGCTGTCAGTAATTCAACTAAAATACAAAACTCAATTGCTGGGGACTGACATCCAAGTGAGAGTAGGAAAGAGGATCATACCATCTTCACCTCAAGTTCAGCCAATTGGAGGCAGAATTCTCATTCCCAATCAGTGAACTGGGCACATGGGAGCAGAATGAAATACAGATACATTTCCCTCAAATCAAATGGACCGGAAACAGCTCCAAATGCAGTAACACCCTTGGCATAAAGATATCGAGGAGTGTTGCAAGAGGAAGAAGCAGTGCAATGACCAAGTGCATCCTCTGTGACCTACAACACAGGGATACACACCTGAGACAAATTGAGTGATTGTGAAGGGACACCTGGAACACGTGTGTGAGTACTTATGCCAATTGGTTCAGCTCTAAATCTAAAACTCAACTACTGGGAACTGACATCCATGCAGTGGCACAATGATGGATCCCAATCACACAACATGTCTGATGACATATGGTGGTTGTTTCAGCTTTAAATACAAAACTCAACCGCCAGAAACTGACTTCCATGAGGTGGTAGGATGAGAGGTCCCAATCATTTCTACACCAACATAACACCATCGTCCTACTTTCAACTGAATGGAGGCATTATTGTTTATATTATATATCTCCCATTCAGGAGGAAACCTCCATGATCCACCTCCCCAGCAGCTTGGAACTGGAAAGTGGTAAGGATTCTCTTACTCCACTGGAAGAAATGGGGGGAAAAATGCAGTGGAGAGTCTGGAGAAATGTACACACCAGAAACAGTGCAATGGGTGACCACAAACCTTATATTGAAAAGCAGACCAAACCCAATTTATTCAATCTAAGGAATGGCAGTGATGGACAGCTATCCCCTTCTGCTTTACCCATGAATGTGTCAACAATGAAGCTACTCATCATGATAAACTGGATTTTCTCACCAAGGAGCGGATAAAAACCAGGCATGAAGACAAAGGACAGGAATAATGGAATGAATTGCCTGGGACTGAGGCTGCCATAGAAGCAATGGAGCAGCTGTGGAAACCATGGTTGGGCCAAGCAGTAGGTGGCAATTAGAAGGACCTGACACAGAATGGAGGGGATGATAGAAATCACCCTGGGAATGGGTTTGATAGAAAGATACACATAAAGAAATGTGTATGCATCAACAGCCAGATATATTTTGTCTGGGAGGGATAGATAATTCATGACCAGATTGAAAGCACCTGGAACATGACATGCAAGTGGGTGAATACCATAAGTGCAAGCTCTCCCCCCCCAAAAGGAGATCTAACATTCAAGAACAGATGCCATCCTCGTGATTGATATATGCCATTACCGTAGAAATGTCTGTATGAATCGTAACCAGACAATTGTGGTCAAGAGGAAGAAAATAGTCCAAAGCCTGGACAGCAAGCAGCTTCAGGATACTGATGTGGTAAGACCATTCTATCACAGACCATTGACCCAAAGCAATTTGTTGCTCGACCCTCACTCTCCAGCCACGAAGTGAAGCATCCATAAAAAGGTATAAATCTAGACAAGAGGGAGGAAATGGAACCCTTGCTGAAGTGTGAGCCTTGTCCAACCACCAATGCAGACTGTCTACAAGAGAAGGAGGAAGGGTAATAGGAACATCCAAGGGATCAAGTGCAAGGTTCCATTGATCCTGAAGAGTCCACTGAAGGGATCTCATATGAGCACGATCCATGGGGATAAGTGCCACTATAAAAAACCACATACCCAAAAGAGATAGGACTTTGCGAGCAGTAAGGGAGTTGATGACAGAAGAAGGTTGGGCCCAAGTGAGATGAGTATTGAATAAAACACCCAAATGGATAAAATATTGGGGATGAGCAAGGAAGGATTTCTCCAACTTAGTCAACCAACCGACCTGAGCTACCTCCAAAAGAAATAGACAAGTGTGTTGAGCAGACTCCAGTTCAGAATATGCCAACAGAAGCCAGTCATCCATTGAATGATGGAAGTACAACCCTCGAGTGTGCGCAAGTCTGGAAAAATTCCATAACCACCCTATAAAAGACATACAGTGCTGTTGCAAGCCTGAAAGGAAGAGGGCAAAATTAATAAACTACCCTGTGATGAACAAATTGAAGATAGTCTTGATTATCTTGATATGGGAATATGGAGATGAGCAATTGATACATTGACCTTGGTCATCCATAAACACTGTCAGCGGCGTGACACTCTGCGTCAAAGAAAACGACAAGAAGAAGATCTGTGTGTGGAAGCCATTTTAGGCCTGATGGAACCCACAGTAGGAACTGGGGAAAATGCAGTAAATCAGGAGGAGGAAAAAGGCAGTCAAATCAGTTATCATCCAAAACAGGTTCAAATTGTTAAAAAGGAACTTGGGCAACATCAGGAGAAAAGGGCTGGCTCAAATAATGATCAATCTCTCAACAAATAATTGCATATAATTCCAAATATGAGTTATCCCCACCTGAAGCCTGAGTAAATGTGCTGGTAGAAAGTGCAACCTCTGACATGGTAACATGTACTTCAGAATACATAATATAAACTGTGTTTGTAAAAAATGACAAACACGGAAAATGATTTAAATTCTATAACTGGGTTTCAAAAACAAAATAATACCACAACTAAATAATATTCTGGAAAATAATAGGTGTTAAACTTGAAAATAAACACTACAAAAATTTAAATCAAATTTTAGAGATCATTAAATAAAGCATCTGAACAAGAGCATTGCCAAACGAGAAGTGATAGGCAGAATACCATAGATGGAATCACATGAGTCGTGTGTGTGGGGGGCATGTCTGTTGGTGAATGTTTGTCACATAATAATTTGCATGTATGAATCAGTTAAACCATGCAAACTGAGTGGTATGTAAGAGTGAAAGGCTTGTGGCATGTGAAAAAATTTTGCAAATAGAGGGCAGCACTGAACGAGAAAGAATAGCTATGTACATGAGATAGTAGCCTGTACCAAACGTTAAGGAAAAAAATAATCTAACTTGTTATTGTTACCTGGACTTCACATTATTTTTACCAAATAATTTAAAATAACTCATCCAACAAAAGAACATGTTAAAAAAAACACCAGGTGTGAAACAATATACACAACTACTCTACACATGACAAAAATAGCAGCTCTGCCCTATGTAAATATCTTTATAAAACATCTTGACTAAGTTTCTAAACTAAATATTTGAGAGAATTAACATTCAGTAGACTGATGTAGTATCCAGGTTAATTATTTAACAATATACATGTACATGTAGTTATATAAAGTGCAGAGTAAAATACATATTATTAAAAATAGTTTAATCATTGAATGCTAAATATAACACTTTACTTTGATCTTGCTCATGACAGTCTACATTTGGTATCTGCTTTTATTCTTTTGAATTATATGAAAATTTGATCAATAAACTTTATGATAAAACTCTATTTGCATCATTTTACACACAATTTGTTGGCTTTTAAAGAAAACTGATATATCAAAAAACTTCATGTAAATAAATTAAAGCTTTTAAATGCATGCTTACTAGTTAAACTGCATTATCAGGATTTGTGAATTGTGGCCTATATACTATTTTGTCCTAAGTGTTTCCTATCATGAATATAAAATAGCAATTTTCCTCAACATTGCTTTATTACAACAAAAACATATTTATGTCTTTCCTCACTAAAAATATCCTTCTCCCCACATAAATGCTTTTAGATCTATGTCATTTACATACTTATTTATGCCTGCTTCTCAGAGAAGTATGTTATGTCCATCACTAAATGGCTATTGCCTAATTTAAAAAAAACAAAAAACTTGCATCATTGTCTTTTATTATATGATGCCCAATTTGTGAAGTATAATAAATTTATGGCTAATAGGTGTAATATTATATTACACACGGTTGATAATCTTCAGTACATAATATTTTAGTGACCCAATACGAGTCTCTAGTATATGCATAAGAAGGGTGTAACAGCATTTGAACTACATTTTGGTGCATGCTGATGTTAATAAGATTTTTTTATTATTCAATATCAAAATCTATGCGGCTGGTTTAGGACACAAAACATATATTATGCTGATGTATTTACAATAACTAATTTTATTATGTTGTGTTGCTGCAAGTAGCATTGTGCTTGTAATAGCAAACATACAAATTCAAATTATGTAGCCAATCCTATACAATGACAACATCAGACATGATGCATCAATACATGTCTTGCATCCAGTGTTGCCTGCCATAAGCTATCTGAACTTATTTAACTTTAACATTGCAAGTGTAGGTGAAGAGGATACAAAAGATAATAATTATATATTATCAAAGTGTCAGTACACAGTTAATACCAAAAAAGCCTGACCATTCTTATTCTTTGTGAAGTTTTTTTTCTAATGTTTAACCATCTATAAATATAAATATTTATGTTCCACAGGAAGTGATCTATAATATACATTACCATCTGTATATGTAACAACTACCACCATTAATAAAATAAAATTTGGTAAAGAACTAATAAAATATTCACTCACAGCATCAAAGAATACATCTCCAATTTCATCAATCACAACAAAATCTGCAGATAATTGAAAGCGTAGAGTTGGAGGTTGAAAATGCTCCTCCTCCTCTTCTGAAAGAGGAACATTTGTTGGTTCTGTTTGTCCATTCTTGCAGTGAGTAGTATATCCTGAATCCTCTGTTTATCAATACAAATAAAATAACAAACAAAATTTACATGTACATATTATACATTAACATTTTGTATTTGGTCATTGGAATTATCTACCCTATTTTTATTAATTTTACTTTAAATGAGCTGTGTAATGTTTTCTTATATTTACTTTTTCTCTTTGAAAATTACAGACATTATAGGAACATTTTTACCACTTTAACAATACTCATAATTAGTGCATGCATGCATGTTGTTAAGGGTTTATAGACTTGATTAGAAACAATATTCCAGAACTCTTCAAGGACTTTTAAAAAAGTAATTATCTATATACCAGGATCCCATAAACATCTTGATATTACTGTCTTATTCCTATGAAACAAGTATTCACTCACATTTTCTAACATTGCTTCATAACTGTTGAATGGAAATTTTACAGTAGCTTTTTTTAAATGTCATTAACAACTGAACTAAAGAGCATAAGAAACATTTTATAAACATCACTAAGCAAATAATACTCAAAAATAAGCTTTCTATGCAATATAAAAGCAAGAAAAATACATGATTCAAACACTGACATCATTATGCAATTAAAACATGAGTTTGGATTGTACAAGTATATTCCTATATGTGTTAAAGCACATGGAATCACTTTGCTTCTATGACATTTCATGTTTTGAAGGAAAAGTCCAAGTAGTGAATGATACCTATGATAAAAAAGCAAAAATTATGAAATAGATTGTAATATCCAGATAAAGGTTAAGAAAAGGTTAAAATAGCTGATGATTGTTGTAAATTAGACAATTTGATATTTTTTTTCTTAGTACCAAATTAGACTATAATTATTTTTGAAGTGTCATCCTATTTAATATGGTTGTTGATACACAATATTAAATACTGAATAATGGATATGCACTGCATCAGAATATTGGTGATTTTAAAAGGAGCTAGCTTTCAACTCTCTTCAGGAATCACCTTGAAGCTGAGGAACAACGATATATGTTCACAAACATGAAGATGGTATCTGTAGAGAATTGAAAGCTAGATAATATTAAAATTGCTAATATTCCAACAGGGGTATACACATTTTTTTATTACTCAACATTGCTTTATTACAGCAAAAACAGTTTTAACATTATGTATAACTATTATATTGATTAAAACATAATATAAATAGAGATAAATAGAGTTATTATTATTGTCTAGTATTATTTCAGAGGTCTCTTAATAACAAAAATGACTAAACCTCAACATCCACTACTGAAAAATTTAAGCTCAGTGACACAAGTGGAATGATTGTTCAAGTTCAAAGAGATATCACAAGCAAATGACTTTTTACTTTTTCCATGAGCTGCTAATCAAAGCAACGGATCAGTTAACTATTGTGGGTAATAAAATAAATATAAAACTGTTTTTTTTTGCAATCAGTCACTTAAGTACCTGATTATCTGTGTATACTACTTGTCTTAAGTCAGGTACTTATGTCGGGGGGGGGGGGATTCACAGTAAAGGATATCTGGAAAAGAACCAGGATCCTTACTAGACACCTCCCAGAAAGGCCCTGTACTGGAGAAAGTGCAATTGGTGATCACGAAAACCTATTGTTAATAGCTGGCAAGTGCGAGCCAAAGTAATGGACAGTCACTTCTGCCATGATGTCCTTTTCCATGATTGTCCATGGAAGGTACATTTTGGATCAGGCATAGTTGTCTTGGAACAAACTACTTTGACAATGGGAAATGGTAGAGTCAGGGAAGATGAGTTGAACACTTTCCATTACCACTGACTCAATGTGGATTTGGGGAATAAGCATCTCTTGGGAGGCAACACCAGCCACATGGTAGGATCTTATACAAGAGAAGAAAATGTACTTACCATTCTCAAAGACACTGTGTAGATTGAAAAATAGTAACTGGAGGGAGCCAAATGGGAAACAAACATGTGCAGAATCATCCACATGCCCATTTGAAAGTTCTCTCTAATGGTTGGTGAAAATGAGATGCAAAAGAGCGAGACAGGTGATGAATCTGATGCAACAAAATATTAAAGAGTCTGCTAGCATCCTTCTCAAGGGAAGAATAAACCAACAGGAAGTGGTAAACCTATCATATAATGGAAAAAAGGCAAGAAACCCTTGAATGAAGAGGAGTCCCAAAGTAGAAGCAAATGATGGGAACCTCAAAACACATGACGTACATGCCAAGAATTACGGAACAGAACAAACTGAACACAGAAGATGATCCAGGTATGACAGAACACAAATATGAGAAGTTGAAGGAAGTTAGATAGGAGAGAAAGAACATTAGAGAAGTAAGTATGATAAAAGAAAGCGTGGGAAGGATTGATGGCTTGTACATCTGAATAACAATGACCACAGATGAGAAGGAAATTGTCTTCAGAGAATCATGGTATAAAGAACATAAGGCCAACAGTTTGAAAATAACTTGTGTTAGACTGTGCAAAACCACATTAAGGTCCCAGTCAGGCATGGGAGTAGACAAGTGGGTCAGTGAAGAAGGAAGGATCTGAAAAAAGTGGAGAAGACAATGGATGAAAAAATCTGCTAGTAACAGGAAAGGCTAAATGTTGTTGATAAGGCCACCCAATAAACAGCAATGGTGGAAACCAACAATACATAGTTGAACAACCATTGGAAAATGGCCAAAAGGTAGACCACTACAGCCTGGAAGAGGGGAGTAGTGGATGGACGAACATAAAAAACTCACCACTTCCATTGATAGACAGAAAGAATTGACAGACGACAGGAATGGGATAAGAAAAAGACTACATGGTAGGAGAGGCCAGCCCTATGGACAATGGACAGAACAAATTTCACATGTGAAGATGATGGGATGACATTTCTAGATAAAAGAGAGACAAGGACTGGGGAAGAGGGGGGCCTGGGTACCAATTGATGAAGCAGAAGAAACCAAGGTTATGATGGCCAAAGAAGCACCACCAACAAGACCTGACAAGAAGTGTCACATAAAAAAGAGAGGACATGAGGAAGAAGATGAAAAGGAGGGTAGGTATACAGGAAAAAGGTGAGATCAGTCCTGGCTGAGTGCACTGACTGCTATGACCAAAGAATGAAGAACTGAGAATCAGAAGAGGGAAAGTTTGGTGTTGAGAAGAGTGACAAAGGAATTGGAGAGAGGTGATCTAACAAAAAGTTCAGAGCTCCTGGTATATGACTAGCTGTGAAACAAACCCAATTGGAAGGAGCCCAAAACAGCATGTCGAATGTGCAGAAGTAAAGAGTACTGGAATGGGTACCCTCTTGATGGATGACATAAAACAACTGTGTCACAGTGGATCTTGACCAACCAATCCATGAGAAAAGGAAAGAAATGGGAATATGCACAATGGAGAGCAAGGAGTTGGGGCACATTGATGTGGAGTCCACACATCCAAAGTCATGTCATCACTAAGAGATACATCCCAGCCCAACACAGTTGTTTGAGAAACAAGTCCACATGGACCGTAATATCAGGAAAAGGAGGGAAGACAAAGTAATCTTGAGTATGAGTTTCAAGTAGTGAAGCATGCGAGAAATCTAAAGACATGAAGAAGATAAAGAAAGAAAATGCCTGCAAGATCATGTCAAAGAAGATTAGAAGGGTGAGGATTTTCATCCACTAATAAAGCTGAATTCCTATTATAATTTAAATCATAAAGTACTAAAAAATCATAGAACATTAGAAAATAAGTATTATGAAATTCCAAATTACAATAACAACTATGGAACAAGAGTAAAAGAGTATAAAATACCATACATAATGAACAACTCCCCAGGGATTTAGGGAATATTAGACCACCCATGACCTGTTGAGTCACCCACTAGTCAGAAATTATGAAGAATTCAAGCTAATTTCAATATTGCACCGAAATGAAAGTTTATTTTGAGATAATTTAATTAAATATTTCAATCCATTCATGTTATTCATAATTCAAAAAACATATTTGATTGTTGAGCGGGAGTAAAAGGAAAGACCATTTCATTTTTCAAAAACGTGAAGACAAAGTTTTCAGGTATTGTGATGAATTAGTTCATTATGTTGTGATCTTTCCTCTTAAACCTTCTACAAATAAGAAACAGTAACATTTTATTTTTCTTCAAATTACCTACCATAACCAAGGCACATTATTGAGAAATTCTTCAAGATCTTGTTTTTGTCATCTTATGCCTTTTAATGAAGATGGGAACATTGACAGGGAAATAGATTTGAACGAAGAAGTTTCGTAAAGAGCGGTAGTGTGATGTAAAATTACTCATGCTAGAAATTTTCCTAAAAGTGACTCAAAAAAACGGTGCTAAATCAGTAACCCAAGGCCCGATTTTAACGAAACTTGTTTTATTCTGTTTCTATTCTCATTCCATTATAAATATGGTGCTATTGTGCACCGTTTTTGCTGTATTTAATTATAAACAAACAATCTCAGAGTTTTAGTAGTATATAGATAAAACTGAAACAGAGAAGCTTGAAAATAAATGTTTAAGATGAACTTTTACAGTGTATTACAAACAATTTAGGCAACAAATTCTATGTTTTTTATACAATTACATAATCACTCAAAATTTCCAAGATCCACATGAGCTCTGAATATTGTTAGTGTAATACAATCAGTGGTTAAAAGTGATTACATACAGAGTACTGTACCAGCTTGGCCCCATAAGAAAATGACATGTTATCACTAGAGTCTTGCAACAGACTTTTAGGACACCCCGTTGTGTATGTTGTGTTGGAAGACTTTAGTAGATAAACATTTTTTTTTGCTTCTTTAAGTCACAAGTCATATTTTTCTAATTTTCTCTGGCTGTATTAATTTTAGAAAAGTGAGCCATTGAAAATGGCAAAAATTACATACAAACCCAAGAATAATTATAAAGTTTCTTAAGAACCCTATTAAAGTTAATAAACTAATCTCTCTATGCTAACAAAAAGCACTCGAATACTGAAAAACTTATATCAATTTAAAACACAGTTACATATGATCACCTGATTACATTTATATTAGATCAACCTGATCAGAAGGATTTTCTAAACTTTCAGCCTAAATGACAGGTAACATACTACAACAAAGTATTCACTGAGAAAATGGGAATTAAAGTAGTTATAATACATTATTACTATAAGATCAGACTTAAATTCCAGCTAAAAAACTACCTTCAAAAGTAATTCTCTTTCTTCTGTGTTGACATGTTGGCCAAACGATTTTTCTTTAGAATGTTATTTCTTATAAAGTGTTTTCCAAATTTTATTCATAAATATCTAATTTCACTGCTTTAAAGTAAAAATATTGTATTTGTATTGTGAAGAGTACATATGTAAAATGCACTGACAGATGCACGTATGCAAGCAATGGAGCTGCTACATCCGGATAATAAAATGATTACAAGAGAGAAAAAAAAAAATTCATAGTGCCACTGTGACACTAAATCTTCCTGCTGTTATACAATGAGGTCTGAAAAAAAGCATAATGTGTTTAAAAGTTAACATGTGACTGAACTATGCTTTTAAATAGTTATTTTCATAACTTACAATATAATTTATACCAGCTGTACTAACACAATGCAAAGAAATCTCCAATAAATAACTGGAGGTTAACCAGCAATACACAATAAAAACATACAGTAAAACTTTATTCCAAGGTTAGTAGGAAAGTGATACACTAAAACTAATGTACCTTCCTTATCATATTAGAATCCAAAATCTTACCTTTTCCTTCTGCTCTCCTGGCAGCTTCCTCTAGAACATCATCATCAGTTATACCACAATTTATCAAAAAGTTTAGTGGTCCAATGTGTCTTGTTTTGATTCCACAATTTTTCTGATAATGCTGGAAGTGTTTATGAAACTTGCCATCTACTCTAAAGATGTTCACGAAAAAATAAGCTTCAAACACCATACTGAATTAACAAAATTTCATTTAATTACAGTCATGAGTTCATTAATATTACTTGATTCACAATGACAAGTATTATATAGAACTACAACAATTATAAAGAATAATTAACAACTGCTAAACTGATATTACAGATACTAAAAAATAGATCTTTTGATACTTATAGAGGAAGCTTGCAAAATAATGACATGATACTACCAATAATATATTTTGTAATCATACATTTGTCTAAGGTACAATAACTATTCATGTTCTGTGCTTCTTGTGTGCTTGAAATTTAATGTTGTTTCTAAGCAATGTGTGTGTGTGTATATATATATATATATATATAAACAAAAGAAAAAACCAGTTATTTATTTGTTCATAAAAGTAGTTTGATTTGACGAATAATGCAATCTCAACGTGTTAATCCTATTTATGCAAATACCTTTTCTATGAGATTACATTCTAACATTTTAACTATATTATTTTTAAATATTTTTAGAGTTTTGTGTCAAACAGTTTCAATTGTCTTCTACAATGAAGTAAACCAAAGAAAAAGTTTTCTTTTTAGATGAGATGGTGCAAATGGAATTAAATGTATGTATTGTGTTGTTTATATATTATTTAGCTTTTATAAAGAAAAATATTATTTTGCCAAATTATACTTATTCTAAATGACTGAAAGGTGAATTGTATTCAGAAAGTTATGAAACTTTTAAATAACTTTGAGCCTATGATTTCAGGTTCCAAAAAATACCACTGATCTACCCATTGTCATATTTTTTTTACCTCATGCCTTTGGGAAATTGCAATTATAAAAAAATCAGACAATGGAAAAAAGGAAAAGTGTCAAATCAATTCAACAGATTTAGTTATTAATCTAATAAAATGTGTTCCATTTCAAGTAACTACATTATTATTTTGTTTAGTAAAATAATGTTAATTTTTGAATGAAAGTATATACCAGTTTTGGAAAAACAACTAGAGTTAACTCACTCATTTGTAACCACAAAAAATAGCATCATATATATGTATTTGTTTGGAGAGAGTGTACAAGTAGATATTGTAACACACAATCTGTCTCACCTACAGCTACATAATGCTATTAACCCTTTCATTATTTATCCCAATAGAGGTGTATAAAAGTATTCCTAATACTACTGTTTTATGAGAAATAAAACTGATTATAAAATTAGCTTCTCTTTCATAAGATTTGACAACAACCAATCATGAAAACATAAAGGAGTTCCAGTAAGAAAATAACTGAAAGATTAGATTGATAAGAAAAAGAATGAAACAGTGAAGCATGGCTAGGTTAGCCAGAGAAGAATCCCCAAGCAAAAATTACAAAAAAAATAGAGAGAGAAGGTGCACAAGAGAACACCACCCAGATGGACATAAAAATCATTCTGAGGCTGATGTCCTCTGAAACATGATATGCATGAAACTAAATAAAGCATGTATAAAACCATAATTTTCTTAGTTATCATTACAGCTATTCTTTGCAGTCAGAGTAGAAGTAAGCCTTTGCAAGAAATATGGTAAGTCAAAAGAGCATAGAGGGAAGGTTA